TAACTTCTTTCTTCTATTTTATTTAGCAAGATAAATAAAGAATAGAATATATTTAAAAAAAAGAGTTATCATCTTCCATATTTTCGTATTTAAATTAATGAATTTAAAGATTTCATTTATGCATGTAATTACTTAATAAAATTAAAAAATTAAGTAGAGAAAAAAGATTATAGAGTTTATATTTCAATTAAGACATTTTGTGGAGATAAGAAAAATTAAATGATTTCATTTGTATTATTTTTAATAAAGTCAAACTTAATTATATAATTCACTGAAAAATTGCTTCAAAAATCCTTCCAATCAAATATCAAAACCGCTAAGCAGTTTAATTTTATACTTCAGCATGAGTTATTTGATAGCATTATGAATTTTTTAAAGCTATTTAGATGTGGCCAAATTGTATTTAACTATCAAATAAATAACAAGGTTTTGCAATTATATAAATTATATTAGTGAACACTCATTTCAAAAGAAAAATAAATCAATATGTAAAAAAATCAAAGATTTGGGACATATTTTCCCAAAGATAAATTTAAAGCTGCTTAGATATTCCTGCACACATATTTTTGATGAAATAAGACTGCTGAGTTTTGGAGATCAAATATGAAGTATTAAAAGTATAAAATTAATTAGAATGGCTCATTAACAAATTTAATATAAGGGTTATAAATTTACATCATTCTATTATTAAAATATTCATGATTAACTTAATCGATGGTAATTTTGTACAAGACCAATAACATTTAGACCAAATCTAATAGCAATGCCAAAAAATCGTAAAAAATAAAAAAGTATTTTTAAGATGGAGTTGCAATAAAAAATTTCGAACAAGGAAATTATGACGATTTATAATTACATTTCTTTTTTTAAGTTTAGAGATTGATTATGTGATTAAGTCTATTAAGAGGGCAAAAATGTGAATCTTATCTGCCGTAATAAATTTCTTAAGTTAAAAAAGTTGATAAATAATTTTTAATCATTTTTAAAGATCTTTTGGAAGTATTCATTAATGATTTTTATTTAAATGGATAAAGAGAGTAAATAAATACAAATAAATATTCAAGGTACTATTATAGCTATTGCTAAAAAGATTTTCGGAACAAGCTTAACAAATATTTATAACATTGTATTTATATATATGGGAATATCAATTCATAACTACATATAGAAAGACTTTTGAGTAGTAAAAGAAATTAATATAAATTTATTACCTTTTAGGTTTATTATAAAGCATTTAAGATTTTTTTATGTCCTTCTTTGAAAATTGTGATTATGTGCACGACAAACCAATACAAGATTTACAATATTATCATTTTACTGTACTCTTTATTATTAAAAAAACATTTCACAAGTTGAATTGAATTAAATTCTAGAATCTGGAAAAGATGATTATTTTTGCAAAAATCAAGAGGATACATAAATATGCTACAAAGATTAATTTTAATCTCATCTTGTATTAGAAGTAAAGTTTGTTTCAATCTTGAGACTTAAAATATTATAAGTATGAAATGGATGATGAAGAAAAGTTAACTGCTACAGAGTTTATAAATTGGGCAAATTCCATTTTCAAATTAGAAAAGGATAAGTGTTTGTAATTCTAACCAAATAATGATTAATCATTAACAAGCACATTAAAAAATGATACTAGTCAATAATCAAGTAGCCAGATTAATCGATTCACCTACAGCACTAGGTAGTTGACTAGAATGATGAATGAAAACTATCATTTGTATTCATAATTCAAATATCCAAATATTACGAATAAAATGGATAGCTTTTTAATAATTCAAAAGTAATTATTTAAATTGATTTTTAGATGAAGCTGAACTTTATTTCACTAATATACCATAATTAATGGAGAGCTTAAGATATTTTTAAATTATTTGTAAAAAGAACCCGAAATCTAAAATCTATACAGAGTAAGAGAAGCATTCATGTATTTGACAAATAAACATGAAAAATTTGCAACATTGTTAGCTGTATGTATTCATATCATCATGAGAAGAGAGAAAGGAGAAAAGGAAATAGAAAGTAATAAATGTTGACCTAAATTATTTCTCTCTTTTAATTACTTTATCAACGAGATATATTTTTACAATATTATTAAAAACTCTTATCCAAAAGATTTTATTTAGAGGGGAAGATGGCAAAAATGTTCTTTACAATTTTGAATTATTCTTAGAACTAAATTATCCATCTTGATTTAAGATATTGAATTATCAAGCAGATTTACTATTTATTAATAAAGCTAAAAGCAAAGGAAGAATACTCATATGGTACTTTATTTGGGAACAGGGAGATTTGATATATAAAACATAAACAGAAAAATACTTCTTGAATATGAATACAATTTAAATAATTTTTTTCCTTTGATTTCATAAAGCAGATTCATTCTCTGTTAAAAATATCTTGGATATATATTTTATGTATTCTTAATCTTAGAGCCAATTTTAGATAGCCGCAATCCAAAAATTAAAGTTTTGATAATTCTTGTAATCAACACTTAATTATTTCTCATTTAAAAGTTAAAGATTTTTAAATATTAACATTAATTTTAATAGTAAAAATAAGAGAAACTTATAAGCATATTAATTAAAAAGATAAGTTTTAGAAATTTTTAATAGTTAATTAGTTAAATTAATAATATTATTTAATAAGTTGATCATTTAAGCATAAAATATAGAAGACTTAAGTTATTTAATAAAGAATGATCATTCAATTTAATTGCAATATTATAAAAGTATAGAAAAATTTGATATTTTTCAAAAAATAATATATGTAGAGAGATATTAATAAATTTAATGGTTAACCTTGTTTAATTTTTAGTTTTTTTCTCTTATTATTATAATTTTTCATCAAATAATTTAGATGAATTAAAATGATTTAAAAAATGGTCTATAATCTTTCTTTCATTTAATTATTTGTTAAAAGGAATTCAGAAATTTCAAAAAAGGTGTTTGTGGGCTTGTGTGTAGTTAAAATGAATGTAAAAGCTCTGATGTTTTATTTAGGAGAAAGTTTTGTATATTTTAAATCCCAGTCAAAGATACAATACAGAAATGATACTTAGAAACCATGCAAAAATTAAGTATAAGAAGATTGTCAAGAATAAGATTATTATGGCTTTTATATTGGTTAATGTATTGACTTGATAGTTTTTAGCATATTTGATAAAGATAATTTTTGAGAGTTGTCATCTTAATTCTTATCTGATGGATCAAATTGTGTTAAAATGTTAGAATAGAGTGATTATAAAATAGAGAATGGATGTGCGAATAAAATTATAATGGCAATTATTGCTTTTAGTTTTTGGGGACAAAAAAAAATGTATAATTGTAACTTTACGCGAAGAGTTAACAATATATTTAAAAAATCATAGCATAAGCAAAGAAAGTCTTAATGGTTCTACTATAAGAAATAATGGTTATGGATTTATCGAATAAATGGAGTCATGTACATAAATGTTTAATATTTTGAAAATAAATAAAGAAAAGATAATTGTTCTTGAATTACAACTAAAACAAAATGTGTTTAAAAGGTGTACAAAAATCTACCATTTACTTAGGATTATGAATGTATGACATATTTAAGTGATTGTAAAGTATGTTTATAAATTTATAGATTATATAACTAATGGAATTCATTGTTTAAAAAGGAGATAATGTAATGATGTGTAGAATAAGATTTGGTTTTTTATCAGATACTTAAGGTAATTAATGTGAATATCATCAAAATTAATGTAAGATCAAGAGTTACGACACTGCTCTAAATTAATTTTCATATTATCAAAATGGATCTGAAACATTTAATGGTTATACTTTTGAAATTAATTGTTATTCAATAAATTAATAAGATTGTATATGGGATGAAAATAACTGTGAATAAAAATAATTTTATCACACTCAAAATCATTATAGTAATACAGATTTTTCACCTATTTGGAAAATATATAGGAAAATTAAATTAAGGATATTAAGTTACACATTAATCGTGTGATGATACATTATAATTACATTTATGTAACAATCTTAGGTTTTTTTCGGTCCTTGCATTCTTGAATCTTCTGGAATTAGATATACAAAATACCATCTTATTGTACGAATGATAAGTAAATAAAATTAAATTAGATCTAATACATTAGCTTTTTTATATTCTCCAAATAATAATATGTATATTAATCTTTAAGAATGTTCTATGTGTAATCCTAAATGCAAAGTTATTTTCTCCTTTAGTGTTGAAGGAAGTGAAT